AGAAATGCCGTGCAGAAGCCTTTAAAGATGACAAATCTCTCTAAAGATGATGTCTGTTGTCAATTGAAAAGCAGAGTTGTGCCAACTCTGGTAGGAGTCTCCCCTGGTTCAACACCATCTTTAGAGGTCCTAGCACGCCATTTCTCGACGCGCTCTTTCATTTGAGCTCAAAAAAACATTCATATTTTGTCTGACATCGCTGCTACAAACTCGGGCCTACAACTCGGGCCTTCAATTGAAGGCCCGAGTTGTAGGCCCGAGTTTGTAGCAGCGATGTCAGCCAAGATATGAATGTTCTTTTGGGCTCAAATGAAAGAGCGCGTCGAGAAATGCCGTGCAGAAGCCTTTAAAGATGACAAATCTCTCTAAAGATGATGTCTGTTGTCAATTGAAAAGCAGAGTTGTGCCAACTCTGGTAGGAGTCTCCCCTGGTTCAACACCATCTTTAGAGGTCCTAGCACGCCATTTCTCGACGCGCTCTTTCATTTGAGCTCAAAAAAACATTCATATTTTGTCTGACATCGCTGCTACAAACTCGGGCCTACAACTCGGGCCTTCAATTGAAGGCCCGAGTTGTAGGCCCGAGTTTGTAGCAGCGATGTCAGCCAAGATATGAATGTTCTTTTGGGCTCAAATGAAAGAGCGCGTCGAGAAATGCCGTGCAGAAGCCTTTAAAGATGACAAATCTCTCTAAAGATGATGTCTGTTGTCAATTGAAAAGCAGAGTTGTGCCAACTCTGGTAGGAGTCTCCCCTGGTTCAACACCATCTTTAGAGGTCCTAGCACGCCATTTCTCGACGCGCTCTTTCATTTGAGCTCAAAAAAACATTCATATTTTGTCTGACATCGCTGCTACAAACTCGGGCCTACAACTCGGGCCTTCAATTGAAGGCCCGAGTTGTAGGCCCGAGTTTGTAGCAGCGATGTCAGCCAAGATATGAATGTTCTTTTGGGCTCAAATGAAAGAGCGCGTCGAGAAATGCCGTGCAGAAGCCTTTAAAGATGACAAATCTCTCTAAAGATGATGTCTGTTGTCAATTGAAAAGCAGAGTTGTGCCAACTCTGGTAGGAGTCTCCCCTGGTTCAACACCATCTTTAGAGGTCCTAGCACGCCATTTCTCGACGCGCTCTTTCATTTGAGCTCAAAAAAACATTCATATTTTGTCTGACATCGCTGCTACAAACTCGGGCCTACAACTCGGGCCTTCAATTGAAGGCCCGAGTTGTAGGCCCGAGTTTGTAGCAGCGATGTCAGCCAAGATATGAATGTTCTTTTGGGCTCAAATGAAAGAGCGCGTCGAGAAATGCCGTGCAGAAGCCTTTAAAGATGACAAATCTCTCTAAAGATGATGTCTGTTGTCAATTGAAAAGCAGAGTTGTGCCAACTCTGGTAGGAGTCTCCCCTGGTTCAACACCATCTTTAGAGGTCCTAGCACGCCATTTCTCGACGCGCTCTTTCATTTGAGCTCAAAAAAACATTCATATTTTGTCTGACATCGCTGCTACAAACTCGGGCCTACAACTCGGGCCTTCAATTGAAGGCCCGAGTTGTAGGCCCGAGTTTGTAGCAGCGATGTCAGCCAAGATATGAATGTTCTTTTGGGCTCAAATGAAAGAGCGCGTCGAGAAATGCCGTGCAGAAGCCTTTAAAGATGACAAATCTCTCTAAAGATGATGTCTGTTGTCAATTGAAAAGCAGAGTTGTGCCAACTCTGGTAGGAGTCTCCCCTGGTTCAACACCATCTTTAGAGGTCCTAGCACGCCATTTCTCGACGCGCTCTTTCATTTGAGCTCAAAAAAACATTCATATTTTGTCTGACATCGCTGCTACAAACTCGGGCCTACAACTCGGGCCTTCAATTGAAGGCCCGAGTTGTAGGCCCGAGTTTGTAGCAGCGATGTCAGCCAAGATATGAATGTTCTTTTGGGCTCAAATGAAAGAGCGCGTCGAGAAATGCCGTGCAGAAGCCTTTAAAGATGACAAATCTCTCTAAAGATGATGTCTGTTGTCAATTGAAAAGCAGAGTTGTGCCAACTCTGGTAGGAGTCTCCCCTGGTTCAACACCATCTTTAGAGGTCCTAGCACGCCATTTCTCGACGCGCTCTTTCATTTGAGCTCAAAAAAACATTCATATTTTGTCTGACATCGCTGCTACAAACTCGGGCCTACAACTCGGGCCTTCAATTGAAGGCCCGAGTTGTAGGCCCGAGTTTGTAGCAGCGATGTCAGCCAAGATATGAATGTTCTTTTGGGCTCAAATGAAAGAGCGCGTCGAGAAATGGCGTGCTAGGACCTCTAAAGATGGTGTTGAACCAGGGGAGACTCCTAGAGCCGAGTGGACAATGTTGGCACAACTCTGGTTTTCAACTCTGAAACCAGAGTTGTGCCAACTCTGGTAGGAGTCTCCCTTGGTTGGGAGATCATCTTTAAAATCATTTGCACTATATTTCGGCCCCCACTCCTGCACTCGGACCCCATTAGACAAATATGAATATCGNATACTGATATTCGTATTCGAGAAAGTTGTTTACTAGTCTACTATCTCCATATCACTTATCAATTGATTCGATGTGTCTAGTTTATTGTCTAGATTTAATTTCAGAAGTAAAAGTTGAGGGTCCGCGATCTCCCATATATCCACGGTAGAAACTACCTTGAATCCACGGGAAAACGTCCCGTATATCCACGGTCAAAGTTACCGTGGAGCGTGTGAATAGATACTGCCTATTTTTTTATTCCAATTTTTGAAAATGCAACAGTTGTGAAAATCTCGTGAGTATTATCATTTTCGTGGGAATTGTGGCAGTCGAGGAAAACCCTGTGCTCCTTTGTCCCTAGGAGTTGTGAATTCAGTCGGAGATAAAAGTAGAAAGTAGGTAATCAGCGGATTGGTCTCCCTGTAATGCAACTCAAATGCTGCGCACTCATTTTCTGACGCGTCGGGTTTCCCCTCCTTCCATGAAGAATTTTTAAGTTGGACCTTGGCTCCCGCTATATACCAAACGTGAACGCAATTATGGGGCGGCCGATGCGTCGGGCTTTTCAATCGTCAGCAGGTGGAATGTTCTAGAAGTTCAGTGACAGGATAAGTCCACGAGACAGTCAATTATCGTTTGAGGATATCCAAATTTTTCAATTGAGTCCCCGATTTTTAAAAATATTCCCTCACAATTTTCTTTCCCTGAAATCGATTCCCAAAAATTATTCTCACGTTAGAAACTTAATTGTTCATAAATAATTCTGAAAAAAATTGTTTAACGAAAAATAAATTGAACAAGTGCTCGGACATCCTCAAGGGCTAATCAACAACTAATTCATATTCAATCCGGAACGCTCGTCCCGTGAACGTCAGCCGTATTTTCCCATCGGAATAATTCAAAATACGGAAAACTCCGAGAAGCCATCGGAAATCACTAGTTCATGCATCGAATCATCAGCATAAATGCATAACGATCTTTCCGCAGTCGAAGACTGAACTGTGGAATGCAGGATGCACGTAAGGTTCGCCGGGGGTCAGAATAGATCGTCTGAACCCTGGCAACAATGAGTGACCCCAATCCATAAATCAATGAACTTCATTCAATTAACAAGAATAATAAAAAAACCCCGAGGAAAAGCGAGTGAAGAGCGTCTCCGGTTCGAGCCGGTTCGCGATACTCCGTCTAATCGCGACCAATCGTCGGACGAAGCGAAGAGTGCAGTGGCCTATCGGACTCTGGCGCTCGATTAGATTCTCATTATTGCTCATACACTTCATTCACGCCCGCAACATGACACCGGAGCGTGATCCATCAATACAACTGACAAAAGATACATCTCAGATATCTATCAGACGTCTTGACCTTGATTGAAGGAAATAACCAACGACGCATTAATGACTAAAAAGAGAGACTCATTACGATGACGAAATGAGCGTAAACTAAATATTTGAACAACATCGACAACTACTAATTATGGGATTTTTTAATGATCTGTAGACTGGACTGTGACGACGAAGTAACGCACTTTTAGACTTGTTAATCAAGCACGGAAAGATAATAAAACGCAATTGAGCATTCGGTCAAAGTACTCGGACACCTTTCTGACGTCAATGTATTGGGGAGTGGAAACAAAACATTATAATGTTTTCATTGAGTGGTCAAAGGTCTGGAACAATTGTTCATTATGTATTGTAATGAGTGGAGGTAAATAACAAGGCAGTTCGGGTCACATTCTTTGAGAGACTTTCAACTCTAGCTTATTATGCGCCGCCATCTTGGGTGATGTCTCCCGCGACGGAAGGGGCTTCAAAGATGGCGACGCCCCACCTCGCGTTTTTAAATACTTCTTAAAATTATTTATCCTCCTCAGATCATCCCCAATTCACTGCAAACATTTTTTATGAAATGAACATTTTTTTTAAGCCATCTTCCACATTTTTCCGCCCACTTTTGGCTGAGAATTCAATTCTCAAAGTTTTTCTCGTGTCAGTATTTTTTTTATCCGAGGCCTCTCGAAGAACATAATAAAAACATTGCAGTGTTTTCATTCAGTGGTCAAAGGTCCGGAACAATTGTTCATTATGTATTGTAATGAGTGGAGGTAATTAAGTGGAGGCTTTCACCTCTAGCTTATTATGCGCCGCCATCTTGGGTGATGTCTCCCGTGACGGAAGGGGCTTCAAAGATGGCGGCACCTCACCTCGCGTTTTTAAACTCTTCTTAAAATTATTTATCCTCCTCAGATCCTCCCCAACTCACTTCAACCATTTTTTACGAAATGAACATTTTTTTGAAGCCATCTTCCACATTTTTCCGCCCACTTTTGGTTGAGAATTCAATTCTCAAAGTTTTTCCAGCGTTTCGGGAATTTTTTTTAAATCCGCGGCTTCTAAATCATTTCTTAAGACTTGAGAATTTACATCTCAAAGTTTTCCTTTCACCTTCAGTGCATTTAATCTTCATAAGACCCGGAAAAACCGCAATAAATAATTCTCGAAATCAATATTTTCGTGTTGCAGGTCAAACCTGCGAAGGATTGCTCGTCACGACGAGCCGGAGTTTAGTAACGCGAGCATTCTCCACAGCATGGAGAAGTTCGTGAAAGCAGTGAGCGAGATGGAGGAGACAATTCTAGTCCCCTCGCGTCTCCTGGACCTCGCAGTGGGTGACGCAAGTGACACAGTGAGCCAGAAGGGCTTAAGTAACATCAAGAACACAATGCCCCACACGGACCTCTACAGGCTCTACAACATCGTCACCAAGACGAAGCTGGAGCTCATGTGGTCCCAGAAGTCCAATGCCGACACCCAGGACGACGAGGACGAGATCACCGATGATGTCCGCCGGAAGAACCGAGCGACGAGTGACGCCGTGAGACTAGGCCACGCCCGCTGCCCTAGTACCACGTCAATGCAGAGCATGCAGAGCGCCTCCTCACTGATCTCAAGCTCAAGCTCCTGCGACTCAGACTCTGACATTGGAATTGAGATTGATTCAGGATTGGAGAGTGAGGATTCACCCAACGACAGATGCGCCAATCAGGCAGCTGAGACCTTCAGGCGTCATCTCCATGGGCTCCATCGCAGCATCAAACGCATGACCTCGGCTGCTGAATACCTCACCCTCAGATATCAGATCGACGTCGGAGGACAAGTTTAGTTTCGCCACTAACACTCCATTCTTTTATCCTCGTCTTTTTTTTTCAATCGTGTTGACCAATTCAGCTTGTCCGCGTCGTCCTGACAGTCTAGAGTCTCTCGCGAGTTAGATCCTCGCTGGATCGAGGTTCAACAAGGAAAAATGATTACAGGGCATTTAATCCGGGGAAATCCTGAACAAATAAATCCTGAGGTGCGGCGAAAACTTTGCGCCATGAACTCTCAGCCAAAAAGGGATGGAAAGATCTGAAGGATAGCTTGAAAAATTTGTTCATTTTCCAGCAACTGGATGAAACGAGTTGGAGGTGATCTGAAGGGGATAAATAATTTTAATAAATGTTTAAAAACACGAGGTGGTCGACGGGTGTAAGCGCCGCCATCTTGCTTGGGCCCCCCTCCTCAAATATTGAATTAATAACAAGGCTATGAGAAGAAAACTTGAATACTGAATTTCACTGAATTCTTCTGGGATATATTCCCGTATAATAAATATTCCACACATTCAGTTGAATGCAAAAAATTCAAAGTCAAAGGACTCAATGTGCTTAACCTCATTTCCACCCCATCATGTCCTCTGTGGTTCTTATACTTAATTTACCGTAACAACACTCCTGTATTATTCATGATGAAAGGAATGCGCTGTGTGTTGACATCAATTTCTTTTTCAAAATTCGAGATTCCGAACCCCAGAATGAAAAAAAAAATACGGCCCTGTGACTCCACCCAGTGGGGGCACCACGACGCTCTACAGCATTAGAATTCACTACTACAGTGTCAGAGTGCTTGGCCATTGGCCGTTCCCCCACTATGTTCACACTGATACGTTTCGTGACCTTGGCGCTGGAATGGGTTCAAAATGGCGGCGCACCCACCTCGTATTTTCAAACACTTCTAAAAATGATTTATCCTCTCCAGATCACCCTCAACTCACTTCGCCCAGTTTCTACGAAGTGAACAAATTTTTTAAGCCCTCTTTCAGATTTTTCCATCCCCTTTTGGTGGTTTTATCCACTCCCGATGTCTCTCAGAGGAAAATTCCGCAGGACGACATGGCGTCGGGATCAATTGAAACAGAATTATTTTGTCTAGGACCTCCCTCACAAGGATTGAATGCCCGATCACCACAAAAAGCTGATGATGATGAGAACAAGCTGAAATCGGTCGAATTCAGGGATTTTCATAGCGTGAAGGACCCAGCGAGCTATAGCGAGCGTAATGTACGCAACTTCTGCTTTCTCTTGATGATTAATAAACAAGAGCTATTGAAATTGTCTCGCAGAACTTGAGTTGTGCAATTGTAAAAATGAATGTAGCTTCTGTGGGTCTTCACCGTAAATTCAGAGTAATAATACCCGTCACGCCCATTACGTCTGCTTTTATTATTTCCTCAAGAGAAAAATCCAAACCACCATTTCCGACTAAAATGTGAATCTCTGAGTGCTTGGAGTCAGCAAGAACCGACGATTCAACATGTCACGAGGAAAAATTCAATAGTAACAACAACTGAAATGGAATATCGTTTTAGAAAATAAATGCGAATCATCGACGCTGTTCTAGATTAAGTTCATAACTATTTATTTTTTATTACGCTGTATGTCACGTCTGAAAAATCCCAAACTCCATGAGTCCTATTTATATGTACATTGAAGAGAAGGGTTTCTCGGCAGTAAGACACTCGATAAATTCTCCCCTCCGTTTTGTCATTGAAATGATTACTTGGACAATTAGAAACAGAAAGCCTCCTTCTCAAGTTCAAAACCCGTTCGATGACGCACATGGAAGAAAAAAAACACTCGCAAGTGGAAAAAAGAAAGCAGATTATGAATAAGCAATTGGAATGATGAATTTCCTACTTGTTCTTTCTGTACATATGTTGTACATAGAATTTAAAAAGTCGTCGTGTAAAAAATTAGGTGGTAATGACACTTTTATAAGTTTATTCTACGCTCTTGCGAACTATTCACGTCACTGCTGTACACTAGGAGAATATTTCAGATGAATAAGGAAGGATTATTGAATTGTCTATTGCACTTTAATTGAGTAAATCAAATGAAACAGATGAAGTCTTCATTTTATTCTTTCATTATGAAAATAGACGGTGACGTGACGACAAATTCATTGAAATATTTTCAATCTGAATAGTTTTTATTTAATAACCGATGGTGAATGAGTTATTGATGGCAAATATCGAGTTGTTGAACAAATGACGTTATTTGATGTCTTATGCATCAATCTATTGAACCTAGAATAATAGATATCGAACATTTTTGTTTACACACAAAGTAAAAATGTTTCCTCTGACTGTACAAGAATGGTAAATAAATTTGCAACTGCCTTTTACATGGATTCAATTATTTAATATCCATATCTCTGGTTAAATGGAAATTATCTTATATTTACAGTCGGAATAAAATGGACCAGCGAATTTTTTTAATGGCACTGTTTGGTGGAATTGAATTGGAATGATTTTTTCAATGTCTCTTGGTTCTCTGCGATTACCAAAATGACCAGTCTAATTTGGGAGCAGTGACTAACTCATGTTAACGTTGGCGACGAGGTCTTTTAGGTTGGCGTAATCTGGGTCGCTGGAGAATATTTCGAAGAGCTCGCAGAAGGTCGGACGATCCTGGGGGGCGTAGGACCAGCATCTCTTCATTACCTCGTGGATGTGGTCTGGGCAGTCTTCAGGTTTTTGGAGACGTTCTCCTTTCTCAACTAGTTGAATCACCTGATTAATTGAAAAATTTTATTGTTGGGGTTTTGGGAGAGAGATCGATGCGGAAAAAACTTTGCACCATGAATAGGGAAGGCTTTCGGCCAATTCATAAACTAATGGCGCCACGTGCCCACCTGTTGCTTCAGTTTAAAAAAAATGCCCTGATTTTAGCCAAAAAGGGATGAGAAGTCTGGGGAACAGCTTGAAAAAATCGTTCATTCTCCAGGAAGTGGACGAAACGAATTGGAGGTGATCTGAAGGGGATAAATAATTTTAATAAATGTTCAAAAATACGAGGTGGTCGACCCACTATGTTCACACCGATACGTTTCGTGACCTTGGCGCTGGAATGTGTTCAAGATGGCGGCGCACCGACCTCGTATTTTCAAACACTTCTAAAAATGATTTATCCTCTCCAGATGACCCTCAACTCACTTCACCCAGTTTCTACGAAGTGAACAAATTTTTCAAGCCATCCTTAAGACTTCTCTACCCCTTCTCGACTGAGAATTCATGCCCCAAAGTTTTCTCCTCATTTCAGTAGCTTTTTTCTACCCCCATACGTACATCCACCCCTCGACGATCTCCATAGGGCTGCTCCCCATAAGAAAACATCTCCCAAAGTGTCACCCCAAAGCTCCAGACATCACTGGCATGGGAGAATGTCCCAAAATTATAAGACTCCGGTGCATACCACTTGATGGGCCACTTACCCCCCTGGGTGGCCCTGTAATAATCACTCGGCCCGAAGCTCCTCGAGAGTCCAAAGTCACTGATCTTGGCTTGATGCCTCGAGGCAAGGAGAATATTCCTGGCAGCGAGGTCCCTGTGGACGAGCCTCAACTCCTCCAGATACTTCATCCCACAGGCGATCTGGGAGGCCCAGACCTTGAGCTCATAAGTCGGACTGATTCTGTCGGGGAACTCCAGGAGATACGCCAGCATCGAGCCCAGGGGCACCAGCTCCTGGACCATGAGGAGAGGCGGCCCCTCGGAGAGGCCAATGAGCTTCACAATGCAATGATGATCGAAAGTCATCATGAGTCTGGCCTCCCTCAGGAATTCCTCCCTCGTCACGATGTTGTGGGTGTCTCGAAGGGTCTTGATGGCAACAGGTTCCTGGACCCCCCTGGGGCTCTCGAAGACCCCCTCATAGACCGCCCCGAATTCCCCCTCCCCCAGCACCTCCCCGAGGATGAGGTTCTCCCCGGGGATGAAGTCTTGACAACTGCTCGAGGGATTCGCCTCGGTCCCTGGACCTGCAGAAGGTGCAGGTGACATCAGCCCCATGTCAAAGACGATGCTCCTGAGGTGAGCAACACCATCAGCCTGGGGGTGGCCCTCAGAGGGTTTCCTACCCAGGGTATTCCCGTTGAAGATCGAGGGCGGCATGTCGGGAACTGGGGGTCGGGGGTCCGGGGGGATGGGGTGCACCAGCGGCCCTGGGAGACCATCAGGCATGCACCTGCGGGGGTATTAAAAATATACAAAATTATTATAAAGCTTCGGTGACAGCGCAATTTGCGTGAGGTACTCCATGAGCCGAAGGCGAAATAGGCGAAAGCATAAAAACAATAATGTAAGGCCCTCGATGGTTTTTTTCATCTTTCGTCATCTGAAATTGTCGATTAAGTCCTGCATCATGCAGAAGTTTTGAAAAATTATGAATGAATAATGAAAAGAAAGTAGAAGACATTCTTAATTTTTTCAAAGAGCATTTTTCATTTATATTCAGAATAAGTTGAATAACAAGATATTGAGAAATGTTTCTGATTTACGGTGACAAGTGGCGGCCTGTCACCCAATATCATGCAGGGGGAAGACTGATTTCGTAAATCTTTTTCCACGCTGCACAGAGACATTTATTACGGAAAAGGCTCTTTGAAAAAAGTTGTAATATTTTGGAGAATTTTTTAATCACACTTTTATCACATAAAAATGGCAGATGACTACATACCACTGTTTTGAAAATTGAGATACCTAGCTGTCACTTCCCACGAGGAGTTAGTGTTTTGTTATCCACCCTGGAAAATGACAGCTAATAGATAATTTGCCACAGCGAATCAGATATTTGTAATTTCCACTTTTTTCAACTCATTCTGAATCTCAATTAAAAACGCTCTTTGAAAAAGTTCAGAATTTTTTCTATTTTTTTAATCATTGTATCATAATTTTTGGGAATTTCTACATGATGTACCACTCAACTGACAATTTTGGATTACGAAAGATGAAAAAAGTTGTAATATTTTGGAGAATTTTTTAATCACACTTTTATCACATAAAAATGGCAGATGACTACACACCACTGTTTTGAAAATTGAGATACCTAGCTGTCACTTCCCACGAGGAGTTAGTGTTTTGTTATCCACCCTGGAAAATGACAGCTAATAGATAATTTGCCACAGCGAATCAGATATTTGTAATTTCCACTTTTTCAACTCATTCTGAATCTCAATTAAAAACGCTCTTTGAAAAAGTTCAGAATTTTTTCCATCTTTTTAATCATTCTGTCATAATTTTTGGGAATTTCTACACGATGTGCCACTCAATTGACAATTTTGGATTACGATGAATAAAAAAAATCCAGATAGCCCGGGCCTTAAAAAAAATTCATGCACCTGTAGTGCTCCACCACGTGCTCCAGGGACGCCAGGTAAGGGCCATTATCAATAAAGAGATATTCGTTTTTCTTCTGGATTTGAAAGTGATAGTCCTGACCGTGGTAGCTCACTGTGAGGACGTACGTCCCCCCTCGACGGTCGCTGAAGCGAACGAGGAAGCTGCCCTCTTTGTCTCCGTTCTTGTGGAGGAGGGCGACTGCTTCCGTTCGGTCCAGCGTTCCGTGGTACCAGTCGCACTTTTTCTCCTTGGGAGCCGGGGTCTCGTAGTCACGGAGCAGCTTCATGCAGTCTCCGTGACCGTTTCGACGAGCTAGACTCTCGGGAATGTCGTCGGCCAGGGTGCGAGGGTGCACTGGGGCATTCATCGAGAGGAGGACTTTTATCACCTCTCGTTGACCAGCACTTGCTGCCTCGTGCAGGGGCACCATTCCTTTTCGAATTATAGCAATTGTAATTTTTTTTTTCAAATAATGAAAGAATAATCAATTCTATTTTTATCCTCAATTTTGATAGAATACATAAAAAAAAAAATAATTGAAAACTTAAAATGGGAGATAAAAAATATCGGATTAATATTATGCAATAATAATAATAATAATAATAATAATAATAATAATAATAATAATAATAATAAGATAATAATGTTTCTTTGAAAGTAGAAAAAGTAGTTGTTTTACTTTTATTGATTTTTTTTTATTGTTTATTGTTTTGTTTAAATTTTTTTTTTTTTTCAATTCATTTTCATAATATTAATCCGATATTTTTGAAAAATATCGGATTAATATTATGCAATAATAATAATAATAATAATAATAATAATAATAATAAGATAATAATGTTTCTTTGAAAGTAGAAAAAGTAGTTGTTTTACTTTTATTGATTTTTTTTTTATTGTTTATTGTTTTGTTTAAATTTTTTTTTGACAAAATTTTACTGTGAATCGTTTATAATTTTTAATATTTATTCATTCATTAATTTAAAAAAAGTCAATAAAATTCCACGAAGTGAATAAAAATAAATAAATAAAAAACAGGTAAATAGATAATTTACCTGTTTCTGTGTGTCTTGCTTGGACATTGGCACCACCCAATATGAGAATTCTAACGGTATTAGGAAGATTACTTTGGCATGCATACTGAAATGAACATTTTTTCAGTTATTAGTATGAATTTTTGTTTTCGGCTGGTACAACAAAAATGCCTAATGTATTTTTAAGGATCATACCTCAGTGAAATTTTATGTCTTGGGGCTTCAGCTGCTTGCGGGGACAATAGCATTGACAATAATCGATCAACAGAATGGTGTGGAAGGGATTGAATGGAAAATTGTGAGTGACTTACGTGAAGAGGGGTGTAGCCAGCAGAGTCTCGACAATTGACACTGGCTTTGCTCTCGATGAGCTTCTTCAGAATATCATCGGCACCGTCCTTGGCTGCCAGGTGCACCGCCGTCTGGCCCAGTTCATTCTTGGCCTCCAGGCTTCTGTATCCGCACTTCAGGAGCTCTGACACTATCGTATAATTTCCCTAAATGAAAATATCAGAATGCATCTCCTTATAAAAAAATACAAGTGAATGAAACAAAATGATTGAAAAAATAATTAATGAAAAATCCAAATGAATGAAAAACAAGTATTGAAAAAAAATTGATGAAAAGTTCAAATGAATGGAACAAAATGATGGAAAAAATAATTAATGAAAAATCCAAATGAATGAAAAACAATTATTGAAAAAAAAAATTGATGAAAAGTTCAAATGAATGGAACAAAATGATGGAAAGAATAATTAATGAAAAATACAAATGAATGAGAAAAAATTTTTGCAAAAATAATTGATGGAAACTCCAAATGAATGAAACTAAATTATTGAAAAAATAATTGATAAAAAATCGAAATGAATGAAACTGAATGATTGAAAAAATAATTGATAGAATTGGTGAAATACAGTTGCCAATATTATTTTCTTTTTTTGCTATTATTTTTGTGTCAATTGATAATGAGATAAATTACCTGCATTGTGGCTCTGTGCAGCAAATTAGTCCTGCCATGCCTTCTCGTGTCATGAGGGGGCAAGACACCTCTGCAGGGCTTCTGTAGTTTAATCTCAAGCCCATGGTTGTCCTCTTGGTAGTACTCTATCAAGGTGTCCAGGCCATGTATTGTTGTCTCGTCATCTGAACAATTCATTCTTTGATAAAATACTGCTTTAGATTATTTGAAATTCAAGGCAGAGACCCATTTTTTTAGGAGTTGTCAAAGTATTTTTGAAGACTAGGACCTCAACTAACAAATTTATATTTTTTAATCTTCTGTGAAGTGAAAAAACGTTCATTAAATATTCTTCAACTTGATCTAACAATTAAAAAAAAATTAGAGAATGAAAACTGAATAAATTTACGAGTGAACAAAAAAAATTTGAGATGGTTTATTTTTTTCAGAAGTTGTCCAAGTGTTTTTGATGACTCTAGGACTTCAACAAAGAACTTTTATGTTTTTTAATGTTCTGTGAAGTGAGAAAACTCATTAAAAATTCTTTAAGTTGATCTAAGAATTAAAAAAAATTGAAGAATAAAAATTAATAAATTTATGAATGAATTTAAAAAATTGAGGTGGTCAATTTTTTTTAGAAGTTATCAAAGTGTTTTTGATGACTGTAGGACTTCAACAAAGAAGTTTTGACAGAAGTTAACAATTCAAAAAAATTGAAGAATAAAAATGAATAAATATGAGTAAAAAAAATTGATCACCTGCATTTTTGCGAGAGAACAATAATTTGAAATTCCTGAGTAGTTACTCACCAATCGAGAAGAAAGCATCCTCTCCATGTTTACGAATTTGATAGTGAATCACCTCTTGATTGTGGAGCACAGAGAGCACGTAGTCACCTGTTGAGGTGCTGCTCTCTCTCACCAAAAAAATGCCATCCTCATTTCCTGAGAAATAAGCAATTGAAAAGAAATGAAATGAATCCCCTGCTGTTGCAGATGGAAATGTCAAGTGATTACTTCACTGAAATTTTAATGAGGATAATGACGATAAATTACCCTTTCTCAGGAGATTCTCAGCCCCTTCGCGGGACAATTTCCCGTGGTACCAGCAGATATCATCGTCCTGGGCCATTTTTAAATTATTCTTAGGAATTACTATTCACACGATGTTTTGGTAACGCAACTGTGGGCAACTGCTTTCATCGTTGGAATTTTAGAGAATGATTAACAGAAGGTGGAATATTTTATTACTGAAACCTGCACTATTCTTCACGTATTTACTGAGCAATAAAAAATAAATGTATTCGGCAGGAGGAGAGACATCTCGCGGGTTCTCAGCCGTGAGTGCTGCAATTGGCCGAGGGATGTCGCGAGCTGTTCTTTTGAAATTTAAATAGGAGTGCACAAAAAACTCCCATTTGCATCGAATTTAATTCATTTTTTTTTTTGGGGTTTTAGGGATTTTTGCCCAGAAAACAATTTTTGCCACTTTCATCTGAAATTTAACAGGACATCGACAAATTGAGGACATACTGTTTGCTGGGTGGTGTCGGTTATGATTGTCGAAGGACAAATGTTGGAGTCATATTGTTTTTGGAACGAATTTTTTTTCGTTGATCTCATTTTTTGCCAATTTTATTGTTTCAGTCGATGAGAAAATTTTTAATGAAACTTTAAAAAAATTATATTTTGCTGAAATTATCTCTGTTGAATGTAAATATCGAATTGAAAGATTGAGATATTTTTTTTATTCTATTATAACTTCCAAATTTCCCATTATTTTTCGGGATAAGAAAATTGAAATTCAATATTTTCCATCAATTTAAAAAAAATGTTTCAGAATATTTCAAGAAATTCTTCATTCCGTATTTTTTTCGAATTGTCTCATTTTATTATTCAATTCAGTGAGATCATTTTCAAAGTCAGCTTATCATAAAAAAATAAATCCATAATTTATTTTGTTAAATTATGACAATTTGATAACCCAATTTTTTTTCAATTCACATTTTGCAAATTTAATTTTTTGTCAGATATAAAGATCGAATGGAAAAAACATGAGACATATTCTAATATAACTTCTAAATTTCCCATCATTCTACAATTAAAAAAAAGCATAAATTATCCTGATAAATTATAAAAATTTGAAAATCCAATTTTTTTTCAATTGACATCACGAATTTTATTTTTCATCACGCTGTGACGAAAAGTGAACTTTTCGCCACATTGTGATGAAAAATATTGTTCGTTCCTCGTGAAAAAATGTTTTTTAGCCCGTGGGATTATATCACTCGCCAAAAAACACTTTTTTGCACTCGTTACGAAATATACTATTCTGTTAGACGTAAATATAATGCAGATGAAATATATAAATATAATAAAGATGTAAATATAATAAAATTTTCATCACGCTGTGACAAAAAGTGAACTTTTCGGCACGCTCCGTGTGCCTAAAAGTCCAATTTCCGCCACATTGTGATAAAATAGTATATTTCGATACGAGTGAGACAGAATTTTCACGAGTGTGAAATTGGCGGCCCGAGGCGAAGCCGAGGGCTACCAATCACACGAGCTGAAAATTCCTGTCTCACATGTGTCGAACAATAGTTTTTGACAGTGATGTTACGTTCAGCGAGTGGCGAACTGTGCCTTTTTTCGTTTACTAGTAAACGAAAAGACTTTTCGTTTACGAGTAAACAAAAAGGCACTTTTCGACACGAGGTGAACGTAGCAGCAATGTCAAAAAATATTGTTCGTAACTCGTGAAAAAATGTTTTTCATCACGCTGTGACAAAAAGTGAACCTTTCGGCACGCTCCGCGTGCCTAAAAGTCCAATTTCCGCCACATTGTGATGAAAAATATTGTTCGTAACTCGTGAAAAAATGTTTTTTAGCTCGTGGGATTATATCACTCGCCTTCGGCTCGTGATATAAACCTCCCACTCGCCAAAAAACACTTTTTTGCACTCGTTACGAAATATACTATTTTGTCAGATCCAATGAAAATCCAAATCGCCGCAATAATTTTTTCCGACGAAAAAAAAAATGCAGATAAAAATCCCCTAAAAATTCGCAAAAAAATCCCCTCGATAGATGTCACCACAGCCCCCGCAGCCCCTAAAATAATGAACACACACCCCTCCGAAAGTAAACACACACTCGATAGAATCACCGTTTCCAGCTGCGCTCGCGTGTGTGTGCGCGCGTGCGGCGGGGGGGAATAGCTTCTGTTCTGTGCGCAATCCCCACCGTTCCCTGAAAATTCATGGAGCGGAGGGGAAAGGGCACCTTCCAGAGTCCCTCCAGTCGATTTAGAATAGTGGTGTAAGTCAAGATGGATGCTTCATTTGCTCCATAAAATGCGAGTATGGATTTCCCCGCGTGATTTCCCTTCCAACCGCCGCCAGCGAACGCACAAGAATTTCCAACAGCCGAAATTTGAAACGTTAAAAGCCCCCCAAAATTATTAAACTGTGAGCGCATGATTTTTCGGGTGTAATATGTGCAGTTATGACTGATAAATCTGCCAGTGAAATACACTCGTACTACAATGGTGGATAACAATTGCATTATCGAAGGGCATGTCAAATTCCGGGACGGCAAGAAAGTGAGAAAATATTTTTCAAAATTTTCTGTCTTTTATCCGGTTTTTTTCGCAATTTTATTTTTTATTTTTTGGCCTTCTTGGACAACTCCGTTGCGAATCGGGGGAACAAAAGGGAAATTGTGCCCTGTCAAATTTATTGACACCCCCGACACTAACACCCCGCGTATGCCCCAGGAGATTCGGCATAATAGGAATAATAATGATAATGATAATCGCGTCGAGTGCCGGCTGCGTCTGGTGGCTCTCGTCTCATTTTTCATTTTTTTTGTGAATCCAATTTTGTGGGGAAAAATCTGGGAAGAAGTGATAGAAAAATTTTGTAAATAGGAAAAATTAGAAAATTTTATTTTTATTTTTTGGCGAGTCCTATTTTATGGAGAAAAAAATCAGAGAAGAATTAGTAGAAAAATTTGGTAAAAATTGTTTTTTGTTTATTAAACGTAAATTTTTTTGCTCCACATTTTTTTTTTATTTCAATTGAAAATTCTTTGGATATAATCGGCGCTCCGATTATATCTGGATTTGTAAGGTTTTTTATTTAGTCGTAGTTTCGCATATGTTACGACTATTTTTTTTTCAGTCCAATTTTACGGCAAAAAAATTTGAGAAGAATTGATAGAAAAATGCAGTAGAAATTGTTTTTTGCTTATTAACAGTAAAATTTCTGTTAGCTTCACGTTTTTTTTCTCAATTTCAATTGAAAACTCGTTGAATATAATTCTGAATTGTAATAAAGAATTGTTAGAAAAATTTGGTAATTTTTTTTTCGTTGAGTAAAAGTAAAATTTTTTCTTGCTTCACATTTTTTTTCTTGATTTCAAGTAAAAATTCTTTATAAATAATTCTGCTTTTTTTAATTAGTCTTCGTCTCGCATTTGTTACGGCTATTCTACTTTCTTCGAATCCAATTTTACTTTTAAAAAATCAGAGATCTACTAGAAAAGTTGAAAAAAAAATTTTTGCTTCACCTTTTTTCCTTCATTTCAAGTAAAAATTCTATGAATATAATTCTGCTCACCGATTATATCTAGATTGTAGGGGATTTTTCGTGTGCTTTTTTCTCCGTATATGGCTTTACCCATGTACGCGAGGAAATAACACCCGTGTTTTCGGTAAGGACTCGAGTTCCCTTTGAAAAATGGTAGTTTTTTTTATTTGGTCGTCGTCCGGCATATGTTATGGCTAATTCGGGGAATTTTTTTCTTTCCAGTGGAAGTCACGATGGTGTGTCATGCGAAAACTGTCGCCAGTAGCAGGTAAATAGCATTTGAAAATATGAAAAAATATATTCATTGTTTTTTTTTATCATTCATGACTCAGAAATAATTTAATTGGGTTTTTTATTGACTACAAAAATTATTTTATTTCCGAAAAAAATTGAGTGTCAATTTTCCACGTGAAAGAGCGTGAAATAGTTCCAATTCTCTGTTAAATCCCAATAATCCGCGTGACAATGCTTCTCAAATAGCTGAGAATATCCACGTCTTTTAGATATTTTTTCAATATTTCAATTAAACACGAGAACTTCAATTTATAAAAATATTCAAATTTTATTCTCCATTTTTAAGTCTTAGAAAACATTATTAAACCCGGAAAAAAATTGAAAAGTCCACTATTTCAAGAAAATGAAAATTTACAAACAATTCGTAAATCCAAAAATAAATAAAATAAAATAGGTAATTATTTCGAAATCGTAAAAAAATTTTTCACATCCACAATATCACCAGAAACAATTCCTAAAGAATAATAAATATATGACCGAACAAATGAGTAATTGAATGACAGAATGAATAAGACAGTGAATAAAACAACTAAAATGTAATAAAAAAGACAATATAAAAACAATATATAAAGACAATATATTAATTTCACGATTATACTTCACGTGTACTAAATTTTATAATCAATACAATTACGAAACCAAACGGAACCTTGATTTATCCGAAGAAAAATTCCAAAAAAGTTCTCACAAAATATAATTCCAATCCCCCTAATGACGCCAATAATTATTCAAATTTATTCCGACCGCGCTGAAAAAAAAATTGACTGAGTAAAACCTCCAAAACACCGAAACTATAAAAGGGATTAGACATCTTCCCCGCCCACTTCGTCAAAACGTGCCACTTAACCAGAAGTGGGCTGCGGCCGTAATTATGATTTCTGTTATTTTCGAAGAGTCACCATAAAATGTTAAGTGGTCTGGCCCCGAGGGAAGTATCTATTTTAAATTTTCAAACGTGAAAATACCCCCGACTTATCATCCCGAGAGAAAATCCCGGTGCGACACTGGAAAGACGGGAACATCTGGTCTAATGTGTGGCACGAGGGAGAGAGTGAAAAAGCCACAATTCTAAGACGCACATCTGCCGTGGGACACGCTCCAATCTTATTAATCCATTGAACTCGGGGAATAACAGAATTTAACGCATTTCTTCCAGACTGTTTACATCTGCAACTGTACGCGGACAGCAAGGACAGATACAAGCAAGGACAGACTAAGGCGTCTCTGAGCTTGCAGCACTTTCTGGGAATTGAGAGTGGCTTGACTCTCGATAAGGAGTCCAATACAGTGGCTATCATTTGTCAGGATTTAATCGTCGTTTTGGCTTTTGACACGCGGGAGAGGTTGATACAGTGGCAGGTGAAGATATCGAATAATCTGGGGGAAGGTGAGTCACGTCAAGTTCATTTGTCCATACGCAATAGACCCTTTTCGTGACGGGATTTCGTTACACTAAATTTATAGCGTAATTGTTTCATGAGGATTCGCCATTTTTTCGGCGTCAAAATACATCGGAATTCAAAATGGCGGGGGGGCGTTGGGTGGCCGCCATGACAGTTTTTATGAATGCTTTCCTTTTCTTTGGTTAAAATCCAAGATGGCCGCTATGTCATATTTTTTGAAATTTTTGAATACTTTTTTTTGGGTTCAAAACTAATATGAAAATCCAACGTGGCCGCCATGACAGTTTTCATGAGTGTTTGCTTTTTTTTTTTTTAATCCAAGATGGCCGCCATGCCTAAGTTTTTTGAAATTTTTGAATACTTTTTTTTTTGGTTCAAAATTAATATGAAAATCCAACATGACCGCCATGACAGTTTTCATGAGTTTTCTTTTTTTTTGTTTAAAATCGAAGATGGCCGCCATGCCATATTTTTTTGAAATTTTTTAATACTTTTTTTTGGAGTTCAAAATTAATATGAAAATCCAAGATGGCCGCCCTTCCATATTTAAAAAAAAAATAATTTTTTTTTGTAACCAAAATTAATATGAAAATCCAAGATGGCCGCCACACTATGTTTTTCTGAAATTTTTTTGATCCTTCGTTTCTTTGAGATCAAAATCAATACGAAAATCCAACATGGCCGCCATGAGTTTTCAGAATAAAAATAATTCTGTTAAAATCAAACAAAGAATGATTCCCAATCCCAAATTTCTATTGCGTATGGACCCGTAACCCATCGCCTCTCACCCAAACTGAACCCCTCTCTCCCCCTAAATTTTCCAGATCAACAGTTTCTGGTCCTCATATCAACAGCCCCAGCAAAAGCAAAAGTAACAACCGGCCCAGCCCACTTACACATCCAAGATGGCCGTTTCTGCATAACAGTGGGTGTCCCCCCGCGCCTGATCGGCGTCTGGGAGATAGCCCACCTCCGTCGTTACGGTGTAGTAGAGGGGAGATTTTGTTTCGAAGGTGGATCAAGATGTGGTCGTGGCGAAGGGTTGCACGTGCTCATAACAGATCAGGGTGATGATATAGTTAGGACCCTGCAGCTGGCGGCTGAGGGTAAGCTATCATCCCGTAAGCGTCCACTAGCGCGTGAATTATCAATTCAGGATAGCCCCAGACGCCAGTTCTCACGTTCCGACACGCGCGCCAGTGATTTTTTCCCCCCAACCGTCTACTCAACCTCCACTTACAAAGACGATTTAGACATAACCAAAACCGAGACTTCCCCCTGCTGGTCCTCCACGGAGAGCCGTCACAACGCCGAACTAGACGGCAATTACACCAGCCGGGAGGTGGGGGGTTCCACAAACGAGTTAGCGGATAAGACCGAATCCCCAGAATGGCGAAGTACCTTACCAAGACAGCATAACTCAGTTTTAGAGCGCTGTGCAAGCTGTATAAGTAAACTGGGTGCCGTCTCGAAGACATCAACATTCATCAGCCCCTCTGGCGCCCCCCAGAATGCCCCCATCAACCCCCCCAAGGGCTTCGACCGACTCTCCTTATCGTCCTACAGCACGAGTAGCCACGACAGTGACTACTCAGCATTTCCCACTACCATAACCGATAACACCGCCCCTAAAAATGACGACAGCCCCCGGCAATCGAGCCCCAAGGACACTGTAGACCTCCCCCTCCCACCGCGAGCGCCCTCAATCCGCCACCTCAATAAACCGAAAAAGCCTCCGATGCCCCTTCCAGAAAAAATCTGTACATGCACAACACCCACCGCCCACCCGCCCCGAAAGCCCGATCCCTACGAGAACTACGACATTCCGCGAACAATTCTCGCTCACCACATGTCCCTGGAGCCCCCCCACCAGACCCAGGACCAGTACTACGATACTCCGAGAAAGATAAAGGAGTGCCTTGCATTGCCAAAGAATCAAAACAATTATCCAAATTACGATACGCCTTATAACCCACAAGCTGTTGTCCTCCAGCAATGTGGATGTCCCAGTAAGCTACCAGCCCAATCACCCAGATCAGTGTGCCCCTGTCACAATGTCATGAGCTGGGCCGGCTTCGTTCTGCCGTACTGCCGGCGCGGCGCTGGCATCGAGTCGACGGGCGTTACAGTTCACCCGATAAAGCTCTCCGGTCAAGGAAAGATGCCGGTTGTCAATGCTAGCGGGGAGGTGGCCATCTACCCCCTGTCGACAAAGAACCCTGTCGCAAAGACTGAAACTGATAAGCCATCCAGCAATAATTACGAGAACCTGTCACCGGTCATCGAGACGCAGCCGGAACCAAAGCCCGTCAACTACGTGAACATCGACTTCAGCGAGTCGTTGGAGCACTACGAGAACAGCAGGGACGTCATCGCGAAGAGTGGGATAACCCAGGAGGAGATGCGGGAGATCGCTTGTGAGCTCAAGCCCGACGCGGCGAACGAACAGTCGTCGGGAATGGGAGAGGAGAAGTTCAAGGACACCGAGGAGATCTGTAACAAGTGCGGTCACGTGAAGGACAACTCCCCAGACTACCTCCTCATGGACCCAGACAAGCAGTTGGTCAAGAAGACGTTCTCGAGCTATCTTCCGATGCAGCCGGCTCACAACCACTGCTCGAAGGAAGTTCTCTCGCGCATCTACAGCGGTACGAAGTCCTCGAGCAATCCGACCTTGTTCGGCCCACCCGCGAGCGAATTGGGGACTAACAGAAAGCGCTCTGACTCGGAACTGAGGATTCCGGGATCAGCAATGCTGTCGAGCCCCTACCTGAGGCGCCGGCTGATCGACCCCACTCAGGCCATAGAATCAAGCGCCAGTTTGGAGATCCTCTGGAGGAAGAGATCGTATTCCGCTGAGTCCACGCATTACCAGACACCGGAGGACTCGAGTCAGGGGTTCTCCTCGGCGTTGGAGATACACAAGTGTCCGAGTGAGACCAGTAAGGCGGTCGTCAAGAATGAAGAGAGTGCGGCCGCTTGTCAGCCGTTCTCCATCAAGATCAGGAGGTCGTCCTCGGTCCCTTCGAAGAGCGGTCACAACCGGGATTCCTCCAGCAGCAATGACTCCGGGGTCTCCACGGGATCCCTCAGCCATCGCAACGCCGAGTTCGTGGAGTTTGAGCTGTCCCTCGCGCCGATAAACTCGGCTAGAAAGCAGAACATTCTGACGGTCTGCAGGAAGAGTCCTCCACCGGTCTGCTATCACAGCAGTCTTCCTCGGAAGTCCAAGTCCAGTGATCCTCTGAGGGAGTTGTCTTTCCAGTTTCAAAAGATACAGGTGCCGACGAAATCGTCGTCCGCTGAGGGGGAGATCCCCGGGTGTTTGCCGAAGGCTACGGCCAAGGGCTTCAGCAGCCCCGGGGAGACATCTGGGACCCCTTACATCGACTCGAGGAGCACCAGCAGCGGAACGTCCGATATGTCTGATTACATTGAGACGCTTTCGCTGTCCTCGCATTCGTCATCTGACGCCCCCGATAGCCTCAGGGGTCAGGGTGGGCGGGCGGTCACCACCACTTTGAGACCGAGGAGTGGGAAGGAGTATTATAAGATTGATCGGGCCATTCTCAACGAACAGGCGAGGTCCAGCAGTGGGCAGCAGGGCTATCCGAATATCACTCCGGTCATGGAGAAGAGCGAGTCACCCTCGCCTGGGTACATGAGCTCTTCCCCGTTTGAACAGCCACAGACCTCGAGGCAGCGGTTTTTGTTCCCCGAGGTGAGTGACATTTGAATTGACGCGGGAACGCTATCCATTTGGGAGGGGAGGGGTGAAGCGCGCTGAGGATTTCCGAGTTGCCGACATTTCGCGGTCTGACGACGCCATTTTGGGGGGGTCAGGAGTCATTTTGAAGGTTGATGAAAAAAATTGAAGATTTTCACTCGGCCGTTTTTGAGTTATTGACGATTCAGGACGGTCTGATGTGGTGGCCGTTTGAGCCGATTTCTTCGTTGAAGATGCAAAAAATTTTTTTGAAAAACGACAATGTACCGAAACACGCCAATTATCGTCACTGCCAACATTTTTTCCATTACGAGTTCAATTTTTTTTAGGAAAATATGTCTTCCCGTAGACAAATTTTTACTATCACTCAACGGTCAATCGCTTCTATGAAACACAGACGAATCAAATTATTTCTCAAATATGCTCAATTCGAAATGATAATAGTTGTATAGTATGAATCCTGCCCTAGGTTTAAAAACTAAAGAAAAAAACCAAAAATACGTAATTGTGTCTCATACTTTCGACGATATGATAGATATCATTTTTTTGGAAAACGCGAATTTTTTCTCGTGAAGTGTAAAAAATGGGGAGTTTTAGTTGAGAGCGTCCAACAGGGTTTCTACTCGATCTGTTTTATAAAAAACGCAACTGCCATCTCAATAATTATACATTTTATTCTGTGAGGATGATGATGACGTTCGTGGTTGATAGCTATTGCAGAAATGTGGCATTATTCATTCCTATTTAAGTACAGTTGATTATTGCATTATGTTTCCGATAATTTATTTATTATTTATTAGCACTTTTACATAGATTTTTCTTGTTAGTTGATACGCCGAGTGCTTTTTAAGAGGCAGAAAACTGTGTGCCATGAATTCTCAGTCAAAAGGGGAAGAAAAAATGTGAAGTTTGGCTTGAAAAATTTCTTCATTTTCTAAGAACTGGATGATACGAGTTGAAGGTGATCCGAAGGGGATAAATAATTTTAATAAATGTTCAAAAATACGAGGTGGCTGACAGGTCTAAGCGCCGCCATCTTGCTTGGACCCCCCTCCTCAAATATCGAATTAATCACAATGCTATGACAAAAAAACTTGAATAGTAAATTTCACTGAATTCTTCGGGGATAGATTCCCGTCTTATAAATATTCCACATTCAATTGAATGCAAAAAATTGACAATGTCAACGTGCTTAACCTCATTTCCACACGATGATGTCCTCTGTGGTTCTTATACTTAATTTACCGTAACAACACTCCTGTATTATTTATGATAAAAGGAATGCGCTGTGCGTTAACATCAATTCCGTTTTCAAAATTCGAGATTCCAAACCCCAGAATGAAAAAAAATATACGGCCCTGTGATTCCATGCAGTGGGGGCACCACCGACGCTCTACAGCATGAGAATTCACTACTACAGTGTCAGAGTGCTTGGCCATTGGCCGTTCCCCCACTATGTTCACACCGATACGTGCCGTGATCTTGGCACTGGAATGGGTTCAAGATGGCGGCACGCCCACCTCGTATTTTCAAACACTTCTAAAAATGATTTATCCTCTCCAGATCACTCTCGACTCACTTCATCCAGTTTCTACGAAGTGAACAAATCTTTTAAGCCATCTTCCAGATTTTTCGATCCCCTTTTCACTGAGAATTCACGACTCAAAGTTTTTCACGCAGGCCTTTTAATAACACATCATTTTTGTTTATGTACAGTTCTCACAATTGCCTAAAGCCATATAATCATATAATAAATCGTCGATCCATTATTCCTTCGATCTGATTCCAAGAAAAATCATGTCAATAGTGACAATAATTTGACTAATATCAAAAATACGAGCGAAACTCAAAGATAGAAAAATAGTTAACGATTGAGCGAAGGAAAAGCGCTTGCTTCAATCAATTTTTTTCATTATTATAATTAATATAGGCGCACAGTGTAATGCACGAGCAAGCAATCCTACGTCGGGATATTAAATAATTTAAAACCGCACCGATGGAGATGAACCACAATGAGAATAAACGAAAAAGTATTAAATTAGTATTACCACAAGACTGAGAGACTTATGAGGCTGTGGTTTCGTAATGAAGTGGAATGAAGAATTCAAAATTTCAGCTGAAATATCAAATTTCAACAGTCTGAGATTCTTTTAAATTTTAAACAAATCATTTTTCTTATTCCCTTCAATTACAAAATCATGATAAGCGCATGAAAAATTTATTGAATCAATAGAAGAAAAATCAACGGGAACACTTGTCTATATCTTTTTAATAATTTTTGATTGAAATTTATATTAAAAATTTCTACAAACAATTCTGATGCATCGAGGGATGCAGAAAAAAAATCGAGAGCCACGTGAAATATTTCAGGTACACGGTACGACCTTAGCATTAAGGCTGGATGATCGAATGTTGTATTTCGCATCCGTTTGGATTCTAAAAATCCTGGAGTCCCTAGATTCCAAGGTATTAAAAAAAAACGATCGTAGGCATGAATAGTCCGTAAATTGAAAATTACTCCTAAAAATATTGTATCGATAATTATAACGCTACCACCTTAATTTCTGGTGATTCCCAATTATGTTTCAACGATCATTGACGGACGTACGTCCACGATCCACTCGTTTTTAAGTTAAAACGGCCTATTTTTGAAACGTCGCAACGAAATGAAAAAAAAATGAAAGACACTGCTGATGACTGATCAATTGGGAGTCACATTCATTCTAAATGCTAGTCAACAAGTTTAAGTACTATAGCTATAATATATTTTTATCGCGAGTGGGGCAACGTAGTACTAAAAAGCCAGATACAGAATGTATAATTGAACGATGGAAATAATTTTTTATCCGAGTTGAATGCAGAGGTGAGGAGAAACTGCAATTTTTTCTCAGCTCGTCACTTGACTCGACAGAAAATTCAATCGGACAATTCAATTTTCATCGATTAAAAAAATGCTATAGATTAATCACAGCTTATTGCTAGTATGGGATTCGATAATCTCGTTTGGAGAATTCTCGAGCTTGATCAAGTATAAAGAATAATAAAAAAGATAATCACAAATTTGAAAGTCCAATCATCACGATGCAGGAGGTGTGGAAATGTATACTGGCTTTTAACGAACCATATCTTTAAAATAATTAAGTACCAATGATATTGGAGTTGAGAAGTCTCGGGAGTAAGAAAAACTACTCAAATTCGACAAAAACTTTGCGGCGTAAATTCTCAGCCGAAAAGGGATGAAAAAATCTGGAGGATCGCTTGAAAAATTTGTTCATTTTCTAGGAACTGAATGAAACGAGTTGAAGGTGATCTGAAGGGGATAAATAATTTTAATAAATGTTCAAAAATACGAGGTGGTCGACCGGTGTAAGCGCCGCCATCTTGCTTGGACCCCCCTCCTCAAATATTGAATTAATAACAAGGCTATGAGCAGAAAACTTGAATAGTGAATTTCACTGAATTCTTCTGGGATATATTCCCGTCTTATAAATATTCCACACATTCAGTTGAATGCAAAAAATTCAAAGTCAAAGGACTCAATGTGCTTAACCTCATTCCCACACGATCATGTCCTCTGTGGTTCGTATACTTAATTTACCGTAACAACACTCCTGTATTATTTATGATAAAAGGAATGCGCTGTGTGTTGACATCAATTTCTTCTTCAAAATTCGAGATTTCAAACTCCAGAATGAAAAAAATATATACCGCCCTGTGACTCCACGCAGTGGGGGCACCACCGACGCTCTACACGTGACGTGATCTTGGCGCTGGAGTAGATTCAAAATGGCGGCGCGCCCACCTCGTATTTTCAAACACTTCTAAAATGATTTATCCTCTCCAGATCACTCTTAACTCGCTCCACCCAGTTTCTATGAAGTGAACAAATTGTTTAAGCCATCATTCAGATTTTTCTATCCCCCTTCGGCTGAGAATTTACGACCCAATTTTCCTCCCGCATTTCAGCATTTTTTTTGCTCCCGAGGCCTCTCAATATATTAATTGACCCGGAATCGTCCGGTTACCGTAGACTTTCATGTAAATATTCGTGAGTAGCAATATTTCGAATTTTTTATTTATCCTCTCGTTTTAAGGGATCGATGCCAACTGACTTTTCATTGTTGTAAATAAATAAAAATGAACTGTATAATTTTGATGATTCTTAAGCGTCTGTTGCGAGAAGCGATTGTGTGAAGATCTCTCATTTGCTCGGTGAATTGATAAGAGTCGATTGTAATTGAACGAGTGAATCCCCTATTTATTTAACGAATTATTTGCACGATCGCTTCTTAACATTTGCTCATACTATTGTATTAGATTCGGGAGATCACTGATGTCCTATTCGACTATTAAGAGCCATACCAAAATATTTGTTTCAATTGATTAGATTGATTGAATTGAATGACGATCATGTTCTCCAATCATGCAAGCACAATAAGATTTTAAAGTGAAAGAGAAAGAGAGATGTTTTATTAAATTATTCCAGAGTGAAATACACAATGTGTAGAGTTACGAAATGTCAAAGGAATTGTAGTGAATTAATTTTTTTGGTTATTACTGCAGAGTAGAAGAAATAAACATCGAAAAATAATTCTTTCTTTTCCTCCCTTTACTTCCCTTAGAGTTAATAAATAATCAACTAGCTTTTTTAAGTTATCACAGATAAGTATATTTCTCAACAAAATTCTAGGATGGACACAGGAGTTTGCAGGATTCTTCAGTAAGATAGTGTTTTTTTTTCGATAATTCATCAATCAATTAAACAATAAACATGTCCTCATCATCTCGCACCTCGTCCCAACACTCATATAGTAGACTCTATACAGTAACATTTTCATATTTTATCTGTACATACGTATAGTATTATTTCTGGCACGTAGGTCACCAAACTTGATAGATCTATACAAAAATAAACAGTTTGTCTCATTCTTCTCTCAAGCGCGATGCAGCTCATAACTTTCGATCCCCATTTCTCCAGTTGGGGCTTGACGATTCAACACTCCGATATTCCCCTCACATGCGCTCATTTCTCTTTACTTCTGCAAGCGAAATTCTTTGATAAATTTTTTCTCACAAAATAGAGACATTGGAAATATTAATTTACAGAATTCATTCGAGAATCAACGAAAGAATACACACGCGCGTACATATCACTCTTCGTTCGACGTTTTTTAATATTTTAATTAGTCTAATAATAATTTCTCTTCGTTCTTGCGTGTTCGCATCCCCAATTAATATTGCTCTTTCTCATTGCTCATAAATTATGTTTTTAATTGGTTAAAATGTACAAGTTTCTGTCGCTCAGAAAAATCGTGAGTTAAGGATATAAACAATATAATTGAGAGAATGAATTTCGGATTGGGAAGCTCTCTTGGTCGATACAAGTATCAAAAAATTATGGGGGTAAGGAATTACCTCTAAATTACATTCCTCGAAACTTAGAAGAATTAACGTAAATTATGCATTGTTTACATTGACTTATCAGTATACCTATATCTATCTATTCTATATCTATCGCAAATACTGGTATCGCCCGTTTTAAAATGAATTATTCAAGTCTATGCATTATTCTGTTGATTTCGATGATTAAGCACACCTAATGCGTTTTATCTTATTCTGTTCATCTATGAGGTTCCTCAGATGAGTAAACAATGGATTCCAATAGTCAGTGATGAGTGACTGACAGAAGTCATTTATTAAATCAAATGCCAGGATTAGAAAATGCGGATTAAATTTTACCCTGTGATTTTTCTGGTGAAAAACGAAGGTAAGTGGAATTTTTTAAGTAATTTAATCGTCCCTCAGGTACACATTTGCTCATTAGAAGATTTCCAGGCTTTTGTCAAAACCAAAACTGGTAACAATGACTCGATTTAGAAATAAGAAAGACAAGAGGATGAAAAAAAATAGTACATCCAAATCATTCACTCCAGGAGAGTGTGATGACGCGAATTAAGGAAGATTTGAAAATAGTAGATAATTTTAAATAATGTTTGAAATCGTGAGGTGGGCGACAGATCCGAGCGCCGCCATCTTGACAGTCCTCCGAGCTCCAACCAATATGGCGGCCAGAGCCATCGCTCACCTCGTGTTTTCAAACATTTTTTAAAAATATTTGACGTCCTCAAAACATTTTAAACTCGTATCATTCCACCCTCCCAATGTGAACGATTGTTACGAAATAATTTTCTGACCTCCGGCCCCCTCAACCCCTCCAGAAATTGACGAAAAAACTGATAAAAATGACTCGATTTAGAAACAAAGAAGCCAAGAGTACGAAAAAAATATCACATCCCAAATCACTCACTTCAGGAGAGTGTGATAAAGCGAATTAAGGAAGATTTGAAAATAGTAGATAATTTTAAATAATGTTTGAAATCGTGAGGTGGGCAACAGATCCGAGCGTCGCCATCTTGACAGTCCTCCGAGCTCCAACCAATATGGCGGCCAGAGCCATCCCTCACCTCGTGTTTTCAAATATCCTTTAAAAATACTTGGCGTCCTCAAAACCCTTTAAACTCGTATCATTCCACCCTCCGAATGTGAACGATTGTTACGAAATAATTTTCCGACCTCCAGCCCTACTTATTCTTCCTGGGCACCCACACCGGCAATTTGCTCATTTTACTCCTGGGATTCTCCCTCATCATATACTCAGAATCGACATACGCCAACCTAATGCAGAGTTTGTCCACCTCCTCATCGCTGGAATTGAACCTGTTAACCCTATCCTCATACACCTCCCGCTCAGGTTCTCTACTAAAACTCAGCTGATGAGTCAGCCTCACGGGGCTTGACGCCCTCGTAACAGGTGCAGTCCTGCTCCCCGAGGGGGCAGCAGTCCTCAACGGAATCTTGCTGCTGCCCTGATTATGATTAACATCCAGCGTGAAATTCCTCTTCCTACTGGACTTCTCAATCGGATGATAATCCGTGACCTCGACACTGTGACGCTTGAACTTCTGCTTGCAATCCTTGAGTTCCGGTGGTTTTGTACTGTAATTAGTCGAGTGTCTCTTGGTCTTATCCACAACCCCCCGGAGCTGCTGGGAGACCCTCCTCTCCCTCTCCACAACATTGAAAGACGATCTCTTCTCCTTCTCACTTGATTTCCGTTCGACGACGGAATCAAAGCTCCACTTGCCCTTGCCCCTGGAGAACGAGTACCTCTTCCCCTTGAGGTCATCCTCCGCGGACGGCTTGCAGCTTCTGTAACCGTCCTGAAAGTTCATGGACAAGCGATTGCTGTACGCCTGCTCCGACCTCGACGACCTCTTGACGGACTCCTCGTGCACGGAGAAGTGGCCCTTGACCTTGCCCCTCTCAGACACCCCCCCAATTCGATTGTTCCTGTGGATGATGTCCTGCAGATTCGATATCTTCGTGCTGCTCCTGGAGGAAGACAGCTGTTCGGGGATCCTGACCCCCGTGTCGACCAGAAATTCATCGTCCAAGAGGGTGACCGGGATCTCCGGCATCGAGCTAAAAGCCCAACAGGAGTTGTAATGAGCTGCACTAGTCAGTGCCCGAAGTGCTGCCAAATTCGGGGACTTGGGGTTGTTGAAGAAAGCTGATTGACGATCCCCCTCACCAGCTTCGTCCTTGGCTTGCGTTAGTAGCAGGGGGTTTGTTAGTACGGAAGTGTCGAAGTAGCTTGACATTCTCAAGTTAGTTTTCAACCCCTGTTTCTGGGGGCTGGAGTCGCTGGTACAAGGGCAGCCCTTGTAGTCCAGCGAGCAGGGGGTGGAGAGGGTGAAGCGGGAGGGGTAGAGGAAAGCTGTTGTGTCGTAACAACTGCAGGCGATCTCCTGGAGGTAATCGCTCGATGATGGGGGGTCGGGGTAGTCGGCTTTTTCCCAGAGGTGGGTTAGTATCATACTGTTGGATTTTAGACGCGCCCAGCTGGAGGTTAGGTTGTTGCTGGAGGTGCTGGGCGGACTGCAGCGTTTCCAGAAATATCAAGTTTTGTTAGTGGGTGGCAGGCTTCGGGAGAGGGTTTCTTGGGTTTTGGAAGACTACAGGCACATCACATTCTTCTTCTGTAGTCTTCGCGCCTTTATGGGGCTAATGCTATCTCGGTTTGTTAGAAAGAGCCAAATCAACTTCTGATGATAGTAAATTAAGACGATAAATTGAGACTTTAAATCTTGGTTGCAAGGGCCAGGATAAGGGGTAGGATTGAAGGCATGTGAGGACCATGTGAGGTGGAGCTTCTTAAGCCTTTCGAGCCTTTTTCTAAATCGCGCCCAGCGGAATGTTTAATGCCCAAAGGTGGTTAGATGGCGCTGTGAGTGGAATTTGCACATGATCGACCATGAGGGGGGAATCCCCTTATTTTGAATCTAATGGTCCTAGGCGTTCACATGAATGAAGATAACGATTGGTGAAAAAATTATAGATTAATATGGAAAAAGAGGAAAAAAAGAAAGGAATGAAATCATTAAGAATAAAAAATTTTTGACGAAAAAAATTGAGAAAAGAATATTATAATCCATGACTTCTCACCTTGCTTTAGCTAATTCGTAGTTCCTCGACGTCCCCGGCGTCTCTAAAGAGAAAAAAATCAAAATATCAATGCATTCTTTATGAATAAATGTTGATAAGGACTCACGTCTGGACGATGATTTGACATTATCCGATATCGATGAGCTCGAAGGTCTTATTTTCTGCCCCGGCATGCTGTCAACAACAGAGGACAAATAAATAATCACGCATTGAGGGAAAATATGGTAGAGAATGACGAATTAAAGGACTATTTTGACTCACAAGCTTCTGGAAGTGTCACTCGAAAATGAATTCTGCTTGCTGCTCATGTTTTGACTGCCGGACTTCTTCATAAACGTCTGACCCGCCGGTAAAGTCGAAGACTTTCCAGACACTGTCAATGACAGCGCCTTCTCTTCTTCGTATTTCTTCATGTCTTCGTTGTCTTGTTTAGAGAATTTCACTGTCGCCTGGAATTCCAAGAATTCCCCTCATATTTTCATTATTTAGAGAAGTCAAACGAATGATAATTGTCCAAATCATTTAGGTCAGAGAAAAATATAACGATTCAACTTTCTTAATATTGCGTTTACAAAGGTTTTCTTCGAACAAAGTTGATTAGAATTAACAGCTAGAATTATGAGATCATCTCACATTATTGTCACGAGATGACAATATTCTAAGCATGGAATTATATTGACGAGATGAACAACAGATTAATTGAATTACCGTGTCAACTAATTAAAAATTGATAGCAGTGTGGCCACGCACTTTTACCAGAGCATCAACAAACATTGAATTCCAGAAATTCACACTCTAATCATGATTAAAATCTTATTCAGTGAGCACAGGAATTAGAACACGAGCAAATCGTTTATTATCATGAAAATTCCCCAGCTTTTGATGAAAAAACCAATAAAAATAATTACCGGTTGTCCTTCATGCCTCACATCAATGTCGTCCAGCCTCCTGATGACCCCAGTGAGTGCCCCAATAACATCCCTATCCTTCTCATTATTCATGAGCCCCCTGACACAAGCCTCAAACCGACTCAGCAGTTTCTTGTCAGAAGGCAGTCTCAGCAGGGCCTTCAAACTCGGCAGCAGTCCCACCACCTTGAGCCTGATATTGGCGATAGGATCCTCAGCCATCTCCAGCAGACTCCCAAAGAACTGTTCCTTAAAATAAACCGATGAAAAAATACTCATCGCCTCAATCATCATCCGTATGTACAGCATCCTCACGTAGCAGCTGGAGTTCCTCGACAAATCTGTGTACAACTTATTCCTCAATTCTGTCCTCTGGATTGGCTTCAAGTTGTACCTGATGAAGACGAGAAATGCTCTACCAGCTGCCAATTTCACGGGTATGGGACGGGCCTTGAGCGCCCGATTAACAACAACAGGCACGAAATAATTGTAAATATAATCGCTGGGAAAGCACTTTGGCAATACCTCCAACTGCTGAAACATCAGGCTAGATAGCCTCCAATTATTTGTACTGAATATTTCCCCCTCGCATTTCAACAGTGCCCTCCCCACCTCCATAACTGGCAGATCAATGCTGTCTTTGCTGATGGTCTGACTCTCAACGAATAGCTGGAGGATCTCGCCTATGTGGGGCACGATGCCCTGAAGAACCTGTTCATTATCATCCTTAACGAGTTTTATGAAGTCATTCTTTAGCGCTCCATTTTTTGCCCCCATAATCCTGGCAATCTCATGAAGTCCACAGGCTAGATTTCTTCGAACCATGTAGAAGGGATCATTCGCGAGATCCGTTAGTGTCGGCAGAAGCAAATCTGTGTCCTCTGGGCTTGATGATGTGAACAAAAACATCGCTGGCATGTTGTAGGCGCACTGCTTTCGGCACTCGATGTAGCGCTCGGTAATCAGGGAGCTGATGGTAAAAGGCAGGTCTTGTTTTTCAGGTGGTTGCTTGGGTGGGGACGACATGCCCAGCTGAGACAGCTGTTGGAAGTACTTCACCAGCCAGGTTCGCTCGGGGGGGGTCAAGACTTTCTCCAGGCCCAGGGCTAGCTTTCCGAACTCTTGGGCTATTATGCAGATCACCGCGTCGTCGGACTTCAGCGCGCTGTCGCAGGATTTTTTTATCAGGGGGGATAGGGTGCATTTTATTACGTCTGGAAGATAATTGCGGGAATTAGTGGGATTTTTTTGGAAGGGGGGAAGGGGGTCATGATTTTGTGTCGTTTAGGTTCGGTGAGGGATTCACATGGAAAATGGGGACTCTTTTCTTAAAAGGGGGAATCCCTTTCTTAAAAGGGGGAACCCCGTTCTTAAAAGGGGGAATCCCTTTCGTAAAAGGGGGAACCCCTTTCTTAAAAGGATAACCCCTTTTTCTAAAAAATATAAATAAAGCTGATGAATCCCATACGGATTCATAAAACATTAATAAAAATAAATAATTGAAAATTTGAAAAAAATCTAGGATTTTTTCATCAGGATTAAATGACTTGTCAAATCTGATCGAAACGATCTAGTTTCCCCCAAGAAACATCAAATAATTTTCAGAAAATTGAATACCTGGTTGTAGGTGAGGTAGAAGATAAACTATTGTCTGAACAGAAGCATGTCTGACAATGCTCTCCTCATCGCTGGCCAATTCCACAATAGATGGTAACAATGAGGCCGTTACAGATTCAGCACCAAGGCTTTCGGCGACGTAATGCAACTGCAGGCAAATACATGCTCGCACATCGCTGTTGACGTCCTGGCATAGTGAGTGCACTGTCGGAAGTACTTCTTTCTTCAGTCTGGAAAAAAAAATTTCTAAAAAAACGAACGACTTATGTCTCAGCCCACTTTCTGGAGAATATCTCCGCATCTAGGGGAGATAACGAAATTTTCGGCGTGATGGGGTTATTCATTTCTTTGGGATTTCAGTGCAATTTTTAATGTTCGTTTTCGATTTCTTTATAGAACCTAATGAAGCTAAAATATATTTAGCGAAACGTCGGATCCTTGATAATTAGATCATAGTGTTTTATTTCTCCGAAAACATGATTTATTGGAGTGTTGAAACTGCAATAATAGAAGAGGAAATAAAATATTTTTTCTCATGTTTCAAAATTTAAGTTTTTTCGTCTTGAGAGACGAAAAAACGAATGGATACCTGATGGAATGCATTGTAAAGGGAAAAATAGACATTCATAAAGACGTAATGATGATAATCTTAATTTATACGAGAATAAACTCACAGCTGCGAGTCGAAGCGTGTGCATATCTTCCCGATAATCTTGCAACACATGATCCTAGAGCCAACGGGCTGTGACAACTGTCCCTTTATCACAGCAACCGGAAGAATCTAAAATTTTACATCACGATAATAACAGGATTGAATTAAATAACTCGCGTTCTCAAAAACTTCACTGAGAAAACAAATTATTTTGACCAAATATCCATTTACTTGAGAGAAGTATTTACTTTGTCAATTTCATATTTCTCCTGCCGAGTCATTCCCGGTCAATTCTCATTAGGCTTCAATTGTGACAATTATATTGCTCTAGAAGACGATCATGTTAGCTGTGATCTTGAGTGAACTCCCTCAATAATTATCAACATTGAAAAATTAATCAAAATTCTTTCACCTAGAAAATGAGAAATTTAGGAAAAATGAATAATTATTGAAGGAGTTCATTGAAGGTCATGTACAGCATAGTCTTCCTCTAGAGCAACATGATTGTCGTAATTGAAACCTAATCAGACTTGTCTGGGAATGACTCGGATAGAGAAATTCAACTTTAAGAAAGTAAATACTTCTCTCAAGTAAAAAAGTTTTTTTTTCTCAGTGTTGAAGCGCATTTTCATTCGCGTTTTACCTCCCGCCTGATGACATCCGTTGGAAGTAACTCGATCACATCCAGTAAGGTCTCCAGCCAAGCATGAGCCAGCACTGTTCCTCGGAAAAGCAGAGGCATGAGTATTCACGAACAAGCGGAAATTCACGTAACAAAACAATGAAACAACGAATTCGTCATTGGAAATTTGAGATTAATGGGGAATTGTTTTTTCTCATTCGAATGATCGAGCTGTGATTTACTTATTCAATCACCTGGATCCCGTGTGTCCAGTGAATTCAGTATGCTCTGCAGAAATGTCTGGGTGAATGTCGAGGGACTGACGAGTTTTTGTTCCAGAATTGTCTTGAATGTCGACGATGCAGCAACGTGAAATTCCGTTGACGCATTCGGCAGGGTTTGCTGCATTTTCGGGATTAATTTTTGTATACATGTTTGGGGATCTTCGGCCAGGAGAATCGGCAGGGTCTGGATTGCATTCAATTTCTGGATGTCATCCCCTTTTCTGCGATGAGAATTCAAGTCATTATTGATTTATGATTTTTTCATCGAAAAATTCATTGAACTTCTCCAGTTTTTCTTTTAATTTGAGGAATAACATTTGTATTTCATTGCGAGGGCCCGGGTAATGAGTTTAATATATAATATATATGAATTATTTGGAGAATAAAAATGGAGAAGATGAACAATTCGATAATTTATTTCTTGTTTTTGAAAATATTCAGTAAATTGTTGATTTAATTTAATTGAATTCAATAGTTAACTAAACATTTCTTCTCCAGTTTTTCTTTTAATTTGCGGAATAACATTTGTATTTCATTGCGAGGGCCCGGGTAATGAGTTTAATATATAATATATATGAATTATTTGGAGAATAAAAATGGAGAAGATGAACAATTCGATAATTTATTTCTTGTTTTTGAAAATATTCAGTAAAGTGTTGATTTAATTTAATTGAATTCAATAGTTAACTAAACATTTCTTCTAGAGTTTTTCTTTTAATTTGCGGAATAACATTTGTATTTCATTGCGAGGGCCCGGGTAATGAGTTTAATATATAATATATATGAATTATTTGGAGAATAAAAATGGAGAAGATGAACAATTCGATAATTTATTTCTTGTTTTTGAAAATATTCAGTAAAGTGTTGATTTAATCCAATTGAATTCAATAGTTAACTAAACATTTCTTCTCTATTTTTTTTTTCAAAATTGAATAAACATTTATATTTCATCACAGCTCTAAATTATTTGAATATTCTCCCAATTAATTGAATAATATATTATTTACTAACTTGTTATTTATTTTTAGTGTCCAATGGAATTTAACATAAGCTGTTGCATTTAACATTCTATAGAAAAATTTATTAAAAAAAACAAAAAAGGAGATGAAAAATCAGATAATTTACAGTAACAGATGGAATTCTCAATCTTTTGAAGATAAAGAAAGAAATAATGAGTTACAATATAAGAAGAAGTATAATTAGCTGCTCAAAGTGCAGCAGAGGCACTCAAAATTGTTGGAATGTTTATTTTTAGACCGTCAAGACCAACTGCAAACAGACAAGAGAGTCCCATCGATTCCCTCTCACGACGATGAGATGAGTAATTTATCAAGTTTCTTTCAATAAAGCCCACCCATGCAAAACATTATTAATAGGTCTTAAATTAACACCTACGTATTGGTATCATCGAAGGGAGCCGCTCCCTCCTCTTGCCACATTTTTCACGCTCATTTTAATCAATCGTATCTCTTATCAATTATCTCCTGTCACTTGTTGTCAAACTTTGATAAAGGGAAACTCTAAAAGACTCGGGAAAAATATACTATTGCACATCTTCCGGAGCACTTGTATCAGAGTCGTGTTGTGGAATACCTCTGAATCATCCCGTATCGGTAATAAAAAAAATGTGACGTGATCCCTGCATGGGTACGGATACTGTCTGACCCGTGCTGTAACGGTAGCGCTGCTGCTGCTGCGGCTGAGGGGAGGCATGCCGGAGACTCACGAATCATTACGAGGCATTACTTCATGCCGCCAAGGTTTCGAAACACACGGAGAGAAAAATACATTGAAAAGTAACAAGAACCTTCCTTAAAAATTAGTGTATTTCATCAATGAGAAAAAAGAATGCTGATCACCCAGTTTTTCGGAAGTGTCACATGAGAAACTACGGAAAACGCATGAAAAATTAGTGTACGACTCACAAAAATTAGGGTGCCACATGTGAATTTTTCAGTACGGGTTACCACTTTTTTAGTGTCTCCCTCTACTTTCTTGCGCCCCCTTCGGCACGTCCCATGCGTTGGTGGGAAGGTACACTAATATTTGAGAGATTTATCTTTCCCTGCAAGTCCGGTTTTTACACGGAATGGTTTCATTGCTGGGAATTGAGAAAAATATTCGGTGAATTTGTGGAAAGCTAGCTGGCTTGCCCGGGCAACTGTTTTTTTCTGCGTCTTATTTTTTATTTGAAAATGATTGGTCAATGAGCCAATTTCAAATCGCCAAAACGGCCGCTAGGGGTAACCCATAATAAAAATAAAAATCATTAGCTTCACAATTTTCATAGAATTTATTTTCTCGATTCTCAAGATTCCCTGAAAATCCTAGAAATTTCATAATTTTTCTTCCTGCGTTTCACCCCCTGAGGGGTCGATTTTCTAAAAAAGAGAAGACACGTGTCTATTAATTTTGAAAGGAGAATCTACATGCGAATTTTCAAGTCTCTAACTCGAGCGGTTTTCGAAATCGTTTAAAATCGACTCATCTTTTGAGTCTCAAATCAGTTATTATTGAGACCAATTTTTTAATCATGAAGTCACAACTCCGGAAAGGTCTCCATTCGTCGAGTGTCCGCAGCCGTATGCTCATTGGCCTTTGCGCGCACAATTTAGGCTAGGTCGGTCTAAACACGCTCTATGATTGGTTCAGCGCGGCCACATGACCGATCCCGTCCTCACGTGGTCAAGCCCATTCCGTTACGAGAGTATACTTACGAAAATAAATGCAGGGCTCTCTCAATCGGCCTCTCCTCCAGGTTCTTTTCTAAAGTATGTTTTCTTATTTGATCCTCAGTCTAAAAAACACGGAACCGATGTATTTTCAAGCTAAACAGGGCGCAAATAAATTCCGAAAGCTCAAAAGACGCATTGGAAAAAAAATCCACTGACCTTGAGGGCTTGCAGCATCGGCCGATCGAGTTGGAGGCTCGCGAACTCCTCAAATTCCATGTCCATTTTGTCGAGGTTAATTCGCGACTCCATCCAACGACACCAATCAAACCCACTCTACATGTTAATTCACAACTATTTGAAATTGGCGACAATTCATTTCGAGTGTTTTGTTCTCCCGAAGCGAAATCTCATCCCCCAAATTCAGAGGCGTTGGGAAAAATGAGGGATAAATAATCATAAATTCATTTATTCATGTAAACGTTCATAATAAAAATAGTAATGATAAAAAATATCATGATCATAATATTTACATTGCATAAGAATAATATCTTTCTATTACTTTATCTTTCAGAAACAGGGATTTATTGTTTCCATAAACCCCCGTGATAATGTGGTAAAAATTAATGTCATGTTACGCATAAAGTAGTGAATCTCATACATCAGCGGTTCCGGCTAAAGTATTAAAATAAAAAAATCATCTTTAACACGAAATTTGAGCTGCAAAATGTCTATTGCATTCACACGGATGGCTCTCTCCGTAAATATATTCAACGATCCTCATAAGTTTGGTCTTCGCTGAAGCATTTATCTCCTTTCAACAGAATAATTATCAGCTAAATTGACCTTAAAAAATACCTATAAGAATTTCAAGTCTTGTGGAAGCACCCGAAACAAAATATACATAATAATCAAACCGATTATTTCAATCTCACATGGAATAAATCAACAGCTGTATGAATAACATCAACATCAATCTGGCATTCGGTTGATCATTTTCACCTAAAAATAACGAGTAACAGTAATTCAGACTAGGTGTAAACGCACTTGATATAATGCAAATAGAAAAATAATCTGTGATAAGATGAGAGTGGAGTGTCCACCAAACATTACGTTTATACTATCTTTAATAAAATCCGCCAACTTATTCTCCGTCACAAAAATTAAAAGTGTGATTTTCTATCATAAAAATATTCTTTAGTAAGAGAGGATGATCAAGTTCTTCACGAGATCCATCCGATCATTGAGCGAATGATTATTTTATCAGTGCGCATGCGTCGGTTCCGTGGAATCCAGGGGGCGCCAGTGCCATTTTCCCCGGTTTTCATTCTCTTTCTCTCATTCTTTCACATCTGAATAAAGATTTTAGCCCTGACGAGGGTCTCCCGCGGCCTTTCGATTTTTTAAAATCATAAAGTGACCGCCGGGGGAAACGAATGAACGTCCTCTCCCAAAGGACAGTCCCTCGCCACCCCCTCAAACATAGCTCTCATCATCGACAACAGACCGGGAATACCCCAGATGCCTAGTAGTGATAGGAGCCCTCGGTTGTGGTGGCGGCCTATAAGGAGGTGGTGGTGGCAAGGACTTGGACCTCCCTGCGATCCTGTGCCTGTCCTCCAGGCTCATATGAACCGGCGGCAAATGCTTCAACCTCGGTGGCAACGGAGGTGGCGTGTCCGGCATCCACGTCCTCCCACTATCCTCCCCCGCGTCACTGGTCTCCACCTGCTTAAAATTATAAATATCCGTCCTCTCATAGCCCTCACCAACATTCTCCCTATTCCCATAGATGTTGTCGCGCTCATAGCGCTCGGCCCTCCCCTCCTTATTCAGAGTGATATAAATCTCGTTCTTCACCTTCTTAAAGTCATAAAGATCCCCATTAGAATTGTACGACTCATTCTGAGATACTGGTGACCCCCTCGTGCTGTAAAGTTCAGACGCCCTCTTCTTGAAATCCAGCAGCATCTCCTTCTTGGTGAAATCGCTCTCGCCATTGTCCTTGACGTGTTTGGTCTGTCTGAAGACGATCTCCTTGCAGCTCTCAATGTTATCCTTCAAAATCCCCTGTCTGTAGTCCCTCCCATAAACATCCTTATCATCGAACCTCCCCTCCTTCCTGTGCTCCTCCTCGAGCTTCGAATTTCGCGACGTCCGTTTGAGCTGCGCCCTCAGCCAGTCTTGTCTCTGAAAATTGGGATTGGAGGTCGAGTAGTTCTGCTTGTCCCCATCAAAGTGATCGCCACTCTGTGGACTGGAGTAAGCATGAAGACGATCGTCCCAACCACCGCTGTAGACCCGCACGTAAGACTTCATGGTCGCCTTCTCCTTCTCGTTGGACGACTTATCGAAAGATGTTGAGGCGCTCACAGCGAGGTCTTCAGAGCTCACCGGCGACTCGGGGATGAACAGCTGGCAGTCTGAGAGGGTCAGCCCGGAGTCCCTGGAGAGGGACATGTGGTCCTTCCTAGGTGGCTCTGTCAAGTCCAGGCTGTCCAGGGAGAGCCCTCCCGAATGAAGGCTGTCTGTGCTCTCCTCAGCGCCGCTGTCGCTCCGCTCCTCCCCGAGGAGTTGCGTCACTCCGTCGCCAAACAGCACTTCGCAATTTCGAATGAGGACCTCAGTGAGGGCTGGAATCGCTCGACTCTGGTTGACAGTTGGGCTCGAGGACCATAGGAGACTGGGGCCACAGCAGACGCCGAGATTGCTGGCGCACATGAGATTGTGCTTGGCCCTTCTCGCGATGTGATGGAGGACGCAGATCAGGTGGGAGAGAAGGTTGTAGTTGGCCTTGGGGAGTCTGTCGAGAATGCTTTTGATGGTCTGCACTGAGTTCGCGGTGTCCAGGGCTGCCATCCACAGGGGGAACAGGTGAGACGTCAGGAGAGGGTCTGGAAGAGATCGAAGGAAGTCCTTTAGGAGAGAAGCCACTGCTATTATTGGAGCGTCTTCGAGGCAGCTCGAGTCCCCTGTCGACTCTATCTGGTCACGCAGCTCTCGGACGATCCTCACGTTGGCGGACTTCCTGAAGATGCCCTGGGTGAAGGGCCCCTTGGCAAACAGCTGCTGGAGCATCATTAAGACCGGCTTTGGGAGGCCGTTCTCTTCTAGACGGGAGAGGTTCACGCCGAAGATGTTTGGGTTGAGCGAGAGGGACCTCCGGAGGAGCCCAGAGATCTTGGACTTGCTCTTCTTGAGGGGCGACTTCAGCACTGGTCGGAGGATGAATTGACAGGTGTCGTGGTTACTCTTGTTGCAGTGCTCGAGGTCGAAACCCTCTTCTGTGGAGAGGGTGTGACGGAGGTTCGACAGCTTTATGGCGAACGGCCGCTCTTGGCCGATGAGGGGGTAGGGCGCCTCGTCGAGGGAGGTGCGGGCCCAGAGTTGGAAGGCTCCTTGGAGGTCCAGCAGACGCGTTGCCAGGTTCACGCAGGCTGACGCCGTCATCTCAGAGTTGACCATTATTGTTTTGCACTGAGGGAAATATATGATTTCAGGTGATAGTCATCCATGGGAATGGCTGGGTTGTTATTGTTATTTTTATCGGCAATATCAATCAGCTAATTAGTTGATTTATAATTTGATCAGTGTGGGGTATTTTCTGAAGAAAAAACATCAAGTTTTTCGAATGGGACTCATTCATTATCTATCGTTCGTAATAATAAATATATGTGTATATTTATATTATTGTAAATATATACAGGGTGACGTCAGCACTCTGTTTGCAAATGTGATGAAATATAGAATAGAAAATTGGTTATTCAATGGCATCAGAATTGTGAAATTACGATGATAGAGTTTTGAATAGTGAGCGTTAGAGTTTTTCAATGATTTACCCAATAACATCATGGTAGACTCCGGCCATGCCGCCATGATGGAAAATGGCGGTGAGGCGACAATATGGCGATATTTACTCCAATGATTTTAGCGACATTATGCGGAATAGTTGGAGCATCATTATGGGCGACAGTTTGAGCAATGTTCATTGCAGCGATGAACCAATAATTTTATCAACATGGAGAGCGATATTAACCATCATATCAAGTCCCATTGACAACTGCGCCATCGTTCGCAATCATGGCGATAGTCAATCGCGATGTAATTGGCTGGAGTATTGAAAAATTCTAATGTTCACCATTTGAAAGTCTATTATCGGATTTTAGTAATTTTTGGACCATTAAATTTCCAATTTTCTACTGTATATCTGCCTGAAATTTGAAAAAACAAGGTACTGACGTCATCCTGTATATGCGTGTGTATATGCTGAAATATATATGGGCGCAAAGACTTACTAAAGACCTATAATATTTTCAACGTCCTCAAATCATTTTTTTAAATGTATTTTGTAGGAAAACGGAGTACTTAATCAAAAATCGGGCTCCGTAGTTGAGTTCCCCGGAATGTTCTCTTGATTCCTGACACAAATATTCATTTTTTCGAATCGTTTTTCATGTAGTTTCGAACAAACAGATATCGAAGAGTCGTGTTATGGACCGTCAAAAGCATATACACTGAGAGAAAAAATTATTCCTGGCAAGGATTGATATTCTCGTCAGAAGATAATATTTTTTCAGAGCGAATTTTTCCAGGACAGTCATTTTCGGAGAGTCCAAGTCTATCTTCAAAAATTACAGTGATGTTGAACAATCTGATTATTATGCTACATATGACCTTGACAAAATGTTCTCCGATATCTTCCGGATTTTATAAATTGGCGATTTTCTCAAGTAAAGAAAATTGGAATAATTCCAAATGTTAATAATTATTATGGGAGTTTCTTCGAGGT